TAAAACCAGTGAGCTATTATTTAATATCTATCTGTTTGAATTTTGAATTAAAATATTTGGAATTTGTATGAGGGAACATTGATACCTTCCTGGTGGGTAGCTCATGTTCAGCTCATAATAGGTTTATTGGGACACAACCCTATATGAAGTTCAGGAGCATCTGTAATTACTCTTAGAACTTAAATTAATAACTAGCAAATTCATTCTTTAAAAATGTTTTGCCAAGATTAGAGAAATGCAAATCAAAACTATTGTAAGATTTCACCTCACTCCAGTCAGAATGGCAGTTATCAAGAATACAAACAACAATAAGTGTTGGTGAGGATGAGGGAAAAAGACACATTCATACATTGCTGTTGGGACTGCAAATTGGTGCAGCCATTATGGAAAGCAGTATGGAGATTCCTTGGAAAACTCAGAATGGAACCACCATTTGACCCAAAGAACTTAAAAACAGCATACTACATGGACACAGCCACATCAATGTTTATAGCAGTTCAATTCGTAGTAGACAAACTGTGGAACCAACCTAGATGCCCTTCAATAGATGAATGGACAAAAAAAAATGTGGCATATATACACAATGGAATATTACTCAGCAATAAAAGAGAATAAAATCATGGCATTTGCAGGTAAATGGATAAAGTTGGAGAATATCATGCTAAGTGAAGTTAGCCAATCCCAATAAACCAAAGGCTGAATGTTTTCTTTGATATGAGGATGCGGACTCATAATGACGATGGTGGAGGAGCTTGGGAGGAATGGAGAAACTTTAGATAGGGCAAAGGGGAGGGAGGGGAGGGAGGGGGCAAAGGTGTAGAAATGATGGTGGAATGAGTTAGACATCATTACACTAAGCATATGTATGAAGACATAAATGGTGTGAAAATACATTGTATACAGTCAGTGACTTGAAAACTGTGCTCTAATGTATAATATGAAATGAATTGCATTCTGCTATCATGTATAAAAAGTTAGAATAAATAAATAACTTAATGAAAAAAATGTCTTGCCAAGAATAAATAGGCAAAAATCACATGGATATTAATTGCAATATTTTTATATGAAAATATTCAAGCTCATTAATAAACAAAACCAGTGAACTATTATTTAACATTTATCTATTTGAATTTTGAATTAAAATATTTGGAATTTGTGTGAGGAAACATTGATACCTTCCTGGTGGGTAGCCAACACAGTTTGATATTTCTGGAAGACAGCTGTGCAGTGCACATCCAAAGCCCTACAAGCTTGCATCTCTTTGACCAGTGATCTCACTTCTAGAAGTGCATCATAAGGAAAGACATTGGAAAGGTGATGAAGAGTGAGCTCCAGAATGCTTACTTATAAAATCACTGTTTATTCTAAATAAGAAAACTTATAGGGGGCTACAGTTGTGGCTCAATGGTAGAGCGCTCACCTAGCACATGTGAGGCCCTGGGTTCGATCCTCAGCACCACATAAAAATAAATAAGCAAAGTAAAGATATTATTTCCATCTACAACTAAAAAATAAATATTTTTTAAAAAGCAAACTTATAGGAATTATGATATAATCTTATAACACAGATATCAATATTATCCTGTTTAATAACAATTCTTATCATGAAAAAGTAAGTTATAAAGTATGTCCTATGCAACTTCCAATTTTTTAAAAACTTTTCCTTTTTTATTGATTTTTTTTAAATAAATGACAGCAGAATGCATTACAATTATTGTTACATATATGCAGCACAAGTTTTCATATCTCTGGTTGTATATAAAGTATGTTGACACCCAATTCGTGTCTTCATACATGTACTTTGAATAATGATGTCCATCACATTCCACCATCCTTGCTAATCCCCTGCCAGCTCCCTTCCCCTGCCACCCCTTTGCCCTATCTAGACTTCATCTGTTCCTCCCATGCTCCCCCTCCCTACCCCACTATGAGTCAGCCTCTTTATATCAAAGAAAACATTCAGCATTTGGTTTATTAGGATTGGCTAACTTAACTTAGCATTATCTTCTCCAACATCATCCATCTACCTGTAAATGCCATGAGTTTATTCTCTTTTAATGCTGAGTAAAATTCCATTGTGTATATATCCCACATTTTTTAATCCATTCATCTACTGAAGGGCATCTAGGTTGGTTCCACAGTTTAGCTATTGTGAATTGTGCTGCTATAAACATGGATGTGGCTGTGTCCCTGTAGTATGCTGTTTTTAAGTCCTTTGGGTATAGTCCGAGGAGAGGGATAGCTGGGTCAAATGGTGGTTCCATTCCCAGATTTCCAAGGAATCTCCATACTGCTTTCCATATTGGCTGCACCAATTTGCAGTCCCACCAGCAATGTATGAGTGTGCCTTTAGTTTTGGGTTTTTTTTTTGTTTGTGTGTGTGTGTTTGTTTTTTTGGGGGGTGTACCAGGGATTGAACTCAGGGACACTCAACCACTGAGCCACATCCCCAGCCCTATTTGTATTTTAATTAGAGACAGGGTCTCACGGAGTTGCTCAGTGCCTCAGTGCTCGAGATCCTCCTGCCTCAGCCTCCGAGCTGCTGGGATCATAGGCATGCACCACCACATGCCCAAGAGAGAGATCAGAGGTTTTTTTTCAAAAGTACAAAACATTTATAAAACTATTAATTGCATTTCTGTAATTAAGTAACTATGAGTCTGTAGCCATGGAATAATTAAGTTATATTTTTCCACATAATAAGATTACAGAAAATTTTACACTTTTTTTCTTTTCTGTCTCTTCTATTGTTCCAAAATGTTCCCCATAATGCACAAGGATTACTCTTGCAATTGAAAGAATAGCAGTTCTTTTGGGGGTATAGTAGGTATTGCAGAAAATAACTGATTTCCGGCACCTATAATTAAGAGTTGTCCGGTGTTATACTCTGTTCAGGGACTAAAGGATATTTTCCTCTTATTCACGGAAGTGAGAAACTCCCTGCAAGGCTAAGGCCACTCCACACTCAGCCTTCATTTGATTTATGAGCTCTCCATCTCCTGGCCGTCACCTCCCCTGTATTTTTTTATGAGATCTGGGGACCATAAAAGGTGCCAAATAAAATGCAAGCTTCTCAGTTGTCTTATTTTCCCTGGTTCTTTGTCATCTTCTAGGTAAACCAAGATCAAACCAGCCCTCAGTTGTTTTCATTAATAAGACTGGTTTTCACAGTTACCCTGCATCTGGTGATTAGAACTAAATTATTTAGGTTTTCTCCCAAGCTGCAGAGAAAGACTGACTCAAAGAGTCACCTTGGTAAGCATCTAGAAATCTCCCTAAAACAGGAACTCAGATGGAAATAAGCATCAGTGGTGTCTCAGGGTCAATCACACTGTCTGCCCGGTAGGACTCCAGGGGAAAGCAAATTGGGAAGAACTATGAAAAATGATAATACAGTGAGAAAATCCGACCTGAAATTTAACTCCAGAAAAGTGAAGGTTAACCTAAATGTCACTGTTCCAATATTCAAAGAGTTGTGATGAAGAATTAGCACAAATGGGACTTTTTACTATTTTTATTAGTGCATTGTGAGTGTATTTTAATTAGAGGCAGGGTCTCACCCAGTTGTTCAGTGCCTCAGCGCTCACAATCCTCCTGCCTCAGCCTCCCAAGCTGCTGGGATTACAGGCGTGCACCACCACATGCCCAAGAGAGAGATCAGAGACTTTTTTTCAAAAGTACAAAACAATTTACAAAACTATTAATTGCATTTCTGTAATTAAGTAACTATGAATCTGTAGCCATGGAATAACTAAGTTACATTTGTCCACATAATGAGATTACGGGGTTTATTCTAAATAAAAAGCCGGTTCTATTGTGACATACACATGCAAGCACACAGTATAAATGGCTGCATGATTACTCTTGCAATTGAAAGAATAGCAGTTCTTTTTTGGGTATAGCAGATATTGCAGAAAATTACTCATTTCCAGCATCTAAAATTAAGAGTTGTCCGGTGTTATGCTCTGTTCAGGATTTCCCCTTTCCCTCTCCTCCTCCCTCCCCTGACCCCCTTTCCTCTACAGTGTTGGCCGCCTTTTTTTAATCTTTTTTTTTTTAATTTGTGCATTAAAATTTTGCATAACAGGTGGGATTCATTGTGATGCATTCACACATGTGCCTACCATAATTTGGTGGCTTTCATTCTCCAGTATCTCCCCTGTCTTTCCTCCTCCCTCCTCCTCAATCTTCTTCCTCTAGTTTCTGCATAGAAGAGAAAATATGAGAAAAATGAAATTTTAAGAGATTTTAAGACAGAGGGGGAAAAAATCCCAGTAGCTTAAATTTTGTGGAATCACAGAATAGGATATTGCAGGATGTATTCATGTTATTTTCTTCTGAAAATGCCAAGGGTAAGTCAGGACTGGATCTGCTCAGGGTCCTTCTGATAATGAAACAGGATGACTAAGACAAGACCAGGGTCAGAGACTGCTCCGAGAATCAGCAGCTTCGTGTCCGTTTATGCTGCTCACCCACCCGCCTGAGTGTCTCCTTGGTAAGATTGCGTAGAGCAAGCTAGGGGTTGATCTCAGGTAGACAGGTGCTACTTGGGGAGCCTCAAAGAGCTAGGAGGCCACACAAATGTTGAACCTTTTTGCAAAGGTTTTTGGGGATCCAACTGTTTCCCAAATATGTTCAGATCAGCTAAAATCCACCTGTGGTTTGCCAATGAACTTTTTCCTCTAAATTGTTTATGCTTGCTTATTTTTAAGATAAACATAAAGCTTGGTGTTTCTGGGTTCATTGACACTGAGCTCATTAGAAGGGTTTTCGAGCCTGTTTTGTGTCCAAGATGCCTTGTACGGTTCAAAGGAAGTCGCCTCTCTGCTAAGGCGATGCATTTGGTGAGCATCAAACAGAAGCCAAACTATACAAACAAAGAAACTCGAGTTTCATCTCAAACTGACAATCCTCCTAGAAGCGTCAAGGTTCATAAACTGCATCATGTTTAAATATCAATGTTTCCTGCTTGTTGTCTGGCCAGGCATGGTGGCACATGCCTGTAATCCCAGGGTTTGGGAGGCTGAGGCAGGAGGATAGGACTTCAAAGCCAGCCTCAGCAAAAGCAAGGCACTAAGCAACTCAGTGAGACCCTGTCTCTAAATAAAATACAAAATAAGGCTGGGGATGTGGCTCAGTGGTCGAATGCCCCCGAGTTCAATCCCCGGTACCCAAAAGAAAAAGAAATATAAAAAAAAAGGTTTCCTTGTTAGAGTTGAATTCATGTCAGACAGATGGTCTTGCTGAACGGAACCTTTGCTGGGGAATGTGCAGACGTAAAGATTCCAGAACATCGTCTGGGGTAAGTCCTTGTTGTTTGGCTTTTCTATCTTCATTTCTATCCCGTACTCAGGCCTTCATGTTTAACTCTGGAAAATGTCATTCGACATACATGCCATTGTTCCTGCTCGGTCCACTGAGCTGTTCCAGTTAGAAAGTTAATGAAACATAATATATAGTCCTTGCAACCTTAGGAGTCAGAGTTTCTAGGTGTGAAGTAACTGAAGTGTAATGAATTATGAATTGCCTGGTGTAGATTTCAAGAGTGATAGGGATTCAAGGCAGAGTGGTCTAGTTAAACATAAGCTGTCCGAGATGGAGAGAGGAGGTTAAGAAAAAGAGGTGCAGAGGGAGAAAGAGACCTGAGCAGGAAGAACATAAACCGAATGTGAATTACAGACTCGTGGCAAATCGTGGCATGGCCTATGGTCAGGAGGAAGCCTACACAAATCAGTTTTGAGCAGAGTGGAAGCTTCTTATATTTGGGAGTATGGAAAGAAAGATCTGAAAAGCTTTTTGGAAAAAGTCTTGCCAGCCAGGCAAATTCATTAACCCCTGATACAGAGAGTCCTAGGGGACCATTGTTGGTTTTTAAGCATAAACATGAAAAAAAAAGCAGTGTGTTGAAGCAAAATCAATAGGAACAGACTGCATAGAATAAACTAGAGAAGGAATAGACTAAGGCGAGGGAGCCCATTGGTATAACTGTTGAAATGATCTAAGTGCAAAGCTCATGTGCATACAAAAATGTTGGAATCTCAACTCAAAAACTCCCTTGGGATGTTCATAATGGTGTATTATTAGGATGAACCATTTAAAAATGTTTTTGATATTTAATAATAGTCAGATACTGGCAATTCCATATGGTTCCACTAATAACTAAAAAAAAAAAAATCCAGAGAAATATGGACTTGAGGTATGGCTTGATCCAGCAGCTTAAAGATTTCACCTAGAGCTCAGTTTCTATAAGTCTTTTTTTCCTCTACCTTCTACCACATCAGCTTCCCCGCAAAGCTGCCTCTTCTTTCATTAGGAGAGCGGCACATTACAGTTCCTTTGAGGGGCAAAAAAAAGAAAGAAAGAAATGGCTTTCCTAGAAGCCCTTGTAAATGTCTTCAAATAGTTCCTTGGTCTAGAAATGAAATGTTCATCACTTAACCAATATAGTAGCTAGGCAATAGGATGTGTGAATTGTATTGTCATTTAGGATTCATCTTTTAGCACTTGGGATGGGATTAACTTAACTCCCAGGTAGCAAGGAGCTGATGCCAGGAGACCTTCTAGCAGAGAGGCTTCTGCCAAACATCACAGACTAGTGCATCTGTCTGGGAGGAGTCTTGGATTATCACACAGGAAAGGTCAGGCCTAGGGAGAATAACCAAGGCTGAGAAAAGGGAGCCGTCCTGCTCTGAGAAATAGCAACTCATGCTGGGCTCAGTGGCACATGCCTGTAACCCCAGTGACTCAGGAGGCTGAAGCAGGAGGATGGCAAGTTTGAGGCCAGTCTCCACAACTTAGTGAGGCCTTGTCTCAAAATAAAAAAATAAGAAGGGCTGGAGTTGTACCTCAGCCATAAAATGCCCCTGGGTTCAATCCCTGGTGCTGCAATCATAATAATGACAAAAATAATGTGTTTGTGGATGTGTGAATGTGTAAATGAAATAGGAACCCAACTTCTAGGAAGCAAACAAGAAGAAGGCCATCTTTAACCCAGGTAGAAGCCCTATCATACATACCTTGCTGGTTGGGGAGATCTGGATGCAGTGGTCTTCAGAAACTGTCCAAAGCACATTTGTGAAACAGTTTCTTGCTAACTCAGAAGAGTTATTAAAATCACCAGGAGGCCCTAGTTATTAGCTCATCATGGAAATGGGCTCATAAAACAGTCTGTAGACTTTCAGACCTCACAGAATTGCAGATTCTCCGTCTTGTCACACAAAATCACTTGGCACAATGTTTGACAAGCAGTTTTGCCCAATAGATTATCCCTGGCACTCAGCCCAACGCTGACAGAGTGCTTTCTCAAGATTGTAACCAATGCCACAGAGCACGCTGTCTGCCCTAAGGAGATGACTTGAGCCTCAGCTCATTACCAGATACTTCATATCCTCTGGACTCATCTGCACGTTCCTGCCCATGAACACCCAGCCTCCAAACCCCTCCTGCCATTTATCCCTGCTGGGAGCCATTAGCCAAGTAGGTATGACAATTTCCTTGCCAGCGTACCCCATGTTGCTTAGTGGAAGGACTCTTGGAAATAGGACATTTTGCAGTGACATTGCATGTAGGTGACCTTGCTCAAGGACCAAGGCGGATCCGGGTTTAGGGTGTTCCCGGTTTAGGATGATCCGAGTTTAGGGTGTTCCCGGTTTAGGACTATCCGGGTTTAGGGTGGTTCCAGGTTTAAGATTATTCCTGCTGGGAATAGGGCGTATCCTGCTGCCTGAGTTCCCCTTGAGTTCTCATGGGATTCAGACAGTATTTTTTGGGAGACAGAAGCCCAGTGGGGATGGATTTGGGCAGAGAATGTGGATTTCCCCAGAACGTGATTGTAGAGTGCTGGTGTGAGTTCGGGAATAAAGAGTTGCTGTTTGAATCTACAAGCTGTGTGGTGGCTCGTGACTGTGTGCCCAGCCAGACTGCGGCATATCCCCATGAGCACAGTAAGGCACTTCCTGGATAACTGTGTGCCATCTGCTAATTTAAAGATTTCATGGTGCCTGTTTGTCTGAATCACTTATTTTTGGGGAAAAAAAATAAGTTAAACAAAACCAGTACCCACACCCGTCTCTGGGGAGAATCCTTATTTTCCACCCTCTGAGCATCAAAGCTAATCTTTGGTGACTTACAGCTGGTTTCTCTCTGGTACTGTATTTAGTCCTTTCCATGACTTTGCACCTGGAGGTGTTACAAATTCTGCTTTTGTTTTTAGGTGCAATAGTCACAAGGCAGTCCGTAGAAAACAGGACAGGTGTTTGCACCATAAAACAAATCAATGGCCCCTGGGGACTTGGTGGCCTCCTTTTTTCCCCTGATTTCTTCAAATACCTCAGTCCCGCCCTCCAGGGACCAGGCACTCCACCAGGGGGACAGCTGGCTGAACAAGACCAAAGAGAGCCCTCAGCTGGACCCTTATTTTATGAAGACTCGATGACTCTATAATAAATAATAATTTAAAAAATCCACTTTAACCACTCTTTCCAAAGGTGCTCCGGGGTCGACCCCAAGGCAGACTTTTCCTCCAAATGCCCCAGGAGCAATTAAACAGAAAACAGGGTTGACGGATGCCGGTAATATGCAAACCAGCCACAGGAACACTAATCTCGCCAGATGTGTGGGTGGATTGAGAGCAACCTTAACATCTGTAAGATCGAATAGATGAAGCTCTAAAATGAGGTTGGTCTAGAGGTGGGAAAAGATGGGTGGATGCTGAGCTCAGCAAGTTTCCAGCCCCAACTCCCAGCATCTGCCAACGGCGAGCCTTCATAAGACAAGTGGCATCTTATTTGTGATGACATGCCAAACACTTCTGTCATTAGAGATGTGTTAGCTTCTTGTTGCTGTGACCAAAATATCTCGCAAGAATAAAGTCCAGGAGGAAGAGTTTATTCTGGGCTCATGGTTTTTCAGTCTGGGGTGAGCCAGCTCCATGGCTGGGGGGCCCAAGAGAGGCAGGACATTGTGGTGGAAGGGTGTACCCCCCCCAGCAAATTACATTCTCAGTCATGCCTACAGTGACCACCCGGTTATCCATTCCAATTGTAAATCCATCAAATGGTTACGCTTTCATGATCTCATCGTGTTACCTCTGGACATTCCTGCCTTCTCTAACATGTGCTTTTCCAGAGGATGCTTCACATCCAAACCATGATAACAGAGAAAGTGGAAGTTCATCTGAGAAGAAGCCACTGTCATTTCCCATAACTGATGGCCTGAAATTTACATCCCGCTGAGATTCAGCCCGGCCCAAATACAGGTTGAGCATCTCCAATCAGAAAACCCAAAGTGTTCCAAAAGCCCAAATATTTTGACACCACAAGTGAAAATTTCCACACAGTGAAACTTCTTGCAGACACAAAAACCACCTTCAGGCTATTGTAAAGTGTAAAGGAAACATAAATAAAGTTCATGTTTAGACTCATTTTCATTCCCAAGAGATCTCATTATGTGTGTACAAATATTCTAATATCTGAAAAAAATCCAAAATATTTCTGATCCCAAACATTTTGACAAGAGATGCTCAACCTACAATGTGCATTTATTTACCTATTATCAATGTTAATGGCAACACGAATAATAAAAATTGTTCATATTTCCAAATAATAAAAATATGTAAAGTAAGGCAATACTGGATAATATTTCACCTGTTAAATAGACTCTCTTTAGTTTTTAAATGGCAACATTCAATGCCAGAAAGGATGTGGTGTAAATTGGCATAGCTTCTGAAAAAATTTTGGCAATACATATTAAGAGCTTTAAAAATATGACTTTGGATGTAGTAATTCCAATTTCAGATACTATCCTATGAAAATAATTCAAGGTGCCAATTGCAATAATATGATACTGCTGAATAGGGAGAAATCTCAAATAATTAAATGTTTACATTATATCCACATGTTAGAATATTGTGCACATAATATATATTCTACTTTTACAAAGCTCATTATGTAATCATAATTGAACAAAGCAGGATATATATTCACAATGTTGATACACAGTAAGATGCCCAGTGCATATGTATACAATCTTATATATATATATATATATATATGTCTCTATATACTTTTTTAAAAAGTATTTATTCCTAAGTTTTAGGTAGATACAATATTTTTATTTTACATTTATGTGGTGCTGATTCGAACCCGGTGCCTCATGCATGCTAGGCGAACACTCTACCACTGAGCAACAACCCCAGCCCCTGTCTCTGTATACTTTTAAGTGTTAAAAAGACTTTTCTTTAAACATTTCTTCTTTTTTTTCTAAATGGTTATTGAACAAAGCAATTCTGATTTTTAAAAGTCTCCCTTCCTCACTTTAAAGAACAAAGATGTATTAAGCCATTAGCTTAAGCCCCTTGACAATATCCCATTAATCAAAACAAAACTGCAGATGCTCTATCCTGAGGTTTTTCTCTTTGAGTGGACAGGCTAAGGATTGCTGGAGTATGAGGTACAGTCCCTGCCTAGCTGACCAGTTACTGGCACACCTAACCTTACAGTTGGGGGCCACTTGAATAACACAGGCATACCTAATTATGAAAATCCCCCTTGTATCTAGGACTCTCCTAAGTTTAACAGTGGAGAATTTAAGCATTTCTTGCTAGATGCTGGGCATCCATAGGGGTTTAGTACCTTTTTTCTTGCTTATAACAAAATACCTAAGACTGGGGTACTTTAAAAACAAAAGGGTTTATGGAGGTTCAAGAGCATGGCACCAGCAACTACATCCCTCTGGTGAGGAATTCATAGCAGATGGCATCACAATAGCAGGAGGGAGTGGGTCAGGTGCCAGGCTCACTTATAACAACCCACTCTCACGGGCACTCATTCAGTCCTATCAGATAGGCCCCACCCCCAGCACCTCTTAAAGGTGCCACCACCTCAGTACCACCACACTGCGGAGGAAGATTTCCACTCATGGCCCTTGGGGAGACAAGATATAGCCACATCACAGCAGTCAGCAAACCTGCATGTCCCAGTGTTGGTCACTGGACTTCTGCATTGCTCCCTAGATGCCTGCGCTCTCCTGTCCCCACCTGTACCCTTATTCATTGAGACAAAGTCTTTGCATTCTTACCTTTCCAGACAATGGATCCAGCCAGGTTGTTTTGCTGGCTAGCAGCCCTGGCTAGTGATCCACTCATGGCCCCTCTGACTCCCTAGGACCAGTTGTCTCCCTGGATTTTCAAAGATCTCTTCCTCTTACCCTCTTCCACGGATACTTCATGGCTACTCTGCTAGGCAGTTCAACCACCCCAGTTGATGAAGTGTTCCTTCTTTCTTTTGGTCTCCACCACTCCTTCCCAGCTGGATTTCTTCTAGTTACCTGTGGGTGGGTAGGAAGCTCCGGGACCAGCCAGCCCAGACTATAGAGCTAGATCTCAGCCCCTCCTCGTCTGCAGAGGACACTAAGGCAAGACGGGCCTGGCGTCTTCTTAAGGTATGATGACTCCCTGCTCTTCTACCCAAGTCAATTCTAGAAGCAAGCTTCCCTGGATCCATGGCAACTGCAGGACATCCTTTATTGATTCACAGGGACAGTTCAGCTTATTGGACATTTGGTTATCATGCCATGTCCAATTTTTCTGAAATAAATTACTTGAGTTTTCCAAAATATATTTTATGAGACACAAGAGCAAAATTCAGGCCAATTGTATATCCATCTTTGGATGAAAGCTGTAAAGATACTGCTTTCCTTACATGCCATCAAAATTACAGGAATCTTCATCCCAAAGGAAAATCAACTGCCTCTCCTATGATTAGTTCTCCGGTATCAGAAGCATCCAGACAAAAGATAGATGAATGGTTCTGAGATGAGCAGAGGGAGAGGAGACAATGGAATACAGAGCCCGGTGGGGATCTAGACGGGAGTTTCCCTGAGATTCTCTGATTTCTCTCTTAAGTCTTAACCTCCACGTAGACTTTAGGTTTGCTAACCTCCTCCAGCACCTGTTATACCTACATTCAACAGGTGTTTGCTGAATGCCTGCTACACAGTAGGCACCACGGCAAAGAACTGGGACTATAGAAGGGATCATTAGAAAGCTACTCCCCACTATGAGTCAGCCTCCTTATATCAGAGAAAACATTCGGCATTTGGATTTTGGGGATTGGTTAACTTCACTTAGCATTATCTTCTCCAACGCCATCCATTTACCTGCAAATGCCATAATTTTATTCTCTTTTATTGCTGAGTAATATTCCATTATGTATATATGCCACATTTTTTTATCCATTCATCTACTGAAGGGCATCTAGGTTGGTTCCACAGTTTAGCTATTGTGAATTGTGCTGCTATAAACATTGATGTGGCTGTGTCTCTGTAGTATGCCGTTTTTAAGCCTTTGGGTATAGACCAAGGAGAGGGATAGCTGGGTCAAATGGTGGTTCCATTCCCAGTTTTCTGAGTATTCTCCATACTGCTTTCCATATTGGCTGCACCAATCTGCAGTCCCACCAGCAGTGTATGAGTGTGCCTTTTCTCCCACATCCTTGCCAACACTTATTGTTGTTTGTCTTCATAATAGCTGCCATTCTGACCGGAGTGAGATGAAATCTTAGAGTAGTTTTGATTTGCATTTCTCCAATTGCTAGTGATGAGCTTGGGAAGAATAGACAAACTCTAGATAGGGCAGAGGGGTGGGAGGGGAAGGGAGGGGCAGGGGGTTAGAAATGATGGTGGAATGTGATGATTATTATTATCCAAAGTACATGTATGAAGACATGAATTGGTGTGAATATTCTTTGTATAAAACCAGAGATATGAAAAGTTGTGCTCTATATGTGTAATAAGAATTGTAATGCATTTCACTATCATATATAATTAAAATAATTAATTAAAAAAAGAAAGCTACTCCTTAACTTGATTTCCAGGAAAATTATTTAACAGTGGGTATGATCTCAGGTACTGTGGTGAATTAGGGCCATATTTTCTCTTCCTTTTAAAAATATTTACCTTAAAAACTGATACAGGTTGAGTTATCATTTATCTGAAATACATGGGACCAGTATTTAGGTCATAAGTATTTAAGGCCTAAAATATTTTCAAATTTTTATATATTCAAATATATATATTTTTCCCATGGGGAATAGATATAGGTCAAAACAAGAAATTCATTTATGCTTTGTATATAACTTATACACATAGTCTGAAGGTGATTTTATCCAATATTTTTAAGAATTTTGTACTAGCAACAAAATGTCATGTTGTGGAATTAACCACTTGTGGGGGTGTCTGGTCTTTACGCACAAAGTTTCAGCTTTGAGGCCAGGTGCTGTGGCACAGGCTTGTAATTTCAGCAACCTGGGAGGCTGAAGCAGTAGGATCACAAGTTGGAGGCAGGCCCCCAAGCAACTTTACAAGACTCCATCTCAAAATAAAATATAAAAAGCACTGGGGATGTAATTCAGAATAAAGCGCTCATGGGTTCAATCCCCAGTACCACAAAAATTTAAAAATTCAGATTTTGGAACATCTTGCATTTCCAATTTCCAGATGAGGGATATTCAACCTGAAGAGCTATTGGATGACTGATGAGAAAGATCAACTCGGTTTTTCCTATGTACTGGTGTTGGGATTGGATACTGGTAAATGTCATATCTGTGTTCAGTGTTCCCCAACAGTCTATAGATGAGCTGAGTGGTGTTGACCTAGTGCTAGGGTATCCCTGCTCCATAGAAGAATTCTAGTCCCTTATGAATACTGACCTCTAGAATTCAAGAATTTCTGAAAGCCCCCAAGGTGACTCTTACCTGGTCCCATGTCCTTGCCTGTACTACTCTTTCTGCAGCTTCCATTTCATCAGCATATTAACTTCATATTGTCCCTGCTTCCCTACCTGTCTCTGCATGGCTGGCTTCTATCCCTCCCCAGTGGGGAGAGCAGTCTGCCTTCAGACTTGACATAGTTCTGGAAGTACTCCTCAGAGTGCATCGCTGCACAAAATTTTAAGAAGCAAGAATGCTTCTATATTATGCCTAGATAAGGAACCCAGTGCTGGTGTGTTTGCACCACAAAAGGCTTAAAAATGTCTCCCTGTTCACATGCACTGTGCTTTTCCTCCATAGGTTATGGATATGCACCAAATTATCTGGTTTGGGGCAGTTTTATATAGGGGTAGGCTAGCAAATCCATTCTCAAAAAAAGTTGTTTTTTTTTTTTTTTGGATCTCTAATTTGTAGTGTTTGCCAATTTCTATGGTGTAAATATTCCCAAAATGGCAAAACTAAAGCTCCCAACTTGTTGTCACTGAAAACAGAGGCAGAAAGAGATGCATTTACTAGGATCTCACAGCAGGTGTGATCCAACTCCGACACACCTAGAATGTCATAATGGACAATGAATCACCTGCCAGAGACCCAAATGTCAAAGGTCTCAATTTCTTGTTTCCTTATGGAGGATTCTGTCTGGGGACTCTGCTGTTGTCCCTAGAGCCTCCCACTCCCGTGTCCTGCAAGCATATCAAAGATGACTTTGTATGCTGAGCATCAAATTGTGGATAAATGCAAATCTCTTCTCACACCTCCCCCTCCCCACTGCACCCCCAAGATTTGTATTTGCTAAATTTGTATTTGCTAACCCAAGGGAGAAAGTTTTCAGTATTCAGAAACAAACCATCAATAAAATAATGGCAATCTCCTCCTCCCCTGCCTTAGCCCATCCAACTCACCCTCTGAGACTGGTATTCATTCTTCATTCCATGGATGAAAACTAGGAGAGTTTCTATGACTTCCCTGGTCACTTTCAGACCAAGAAAGAAAAAAAAAAATGTGATCTGTGATCATTTATAGTCCTTATTCCAGGAATTAAAACCTCTCCAGGTCTAGGTAATATTTCATTCTAAATGTAACTTAAACATAAGTTTTCTCCCTTTCCCCAGCCTAAGCCTATTTATTATCACCCTTAGTGACAGATTGACTCGTCATAATTCCTTCCTCCCATGAGGGCATTTCTGCTCTCCTAAACTTGAAGCAAGGGGAGGAAGAGGAAATACTGGATCCTGTCAGCCATCTCCTACCTGGTACCAGTTCATCTGCTGACATTTGCCTGGGGCCGGAGAAGGTATTTCAGCCAATTTCATCTCCTAATGTTCTTTGCGGGTCCATTGGATACACCTTAAAAAAAAAAAAAACAGCAATTCACTGGTGTAGGTACAAGAAACCTTCTTCAGATGGCAGGGATATTTGATGACATGCCCAGCCGCCTTTCACTGACACATACTCTCTTCTCCTGGTGTCACCACTGGGCAAAATCTTAAACTTTCCCAGATTCAGCCCAGTGGAGACCTTATTCCTAGTCACTGAATTGTTCAGAATAACTACCAGGTAGGTGGCAGTATTGCTATTTTATAAAGGAGGAAGTTTGGACCCAGGGACAAAACTTATGTTCCTGAGGCCTCCAGATCACCCTTATGTGTCAAGACATTGAGGCACAGAGGTGTCCTTTGAAACACAGACTTACAGATTTCCATCTCAAATGGACCAAATAATCATCTGGGGTCACCTAGTTCAGGTATCACCTCCCAAAGGGATAGTTCTAACTCCAGGTCCTTTTTGTTTTTGTAATTCTGGGGACAAAACCCAGATGCACACCGATACTAGGGCTCTATCACTTAGCCACACCCCCCAGTCCCTAACCTAAGGGTTTTTTGGTTTTGTTTTAATTGTTTATTGTTTTTGCTTGGTAGGGCATTGAATCCAGGGGTGCTCTACTATTGAACACCATACCAAACATTTTTTTTTCTTTTCTTTCTCTTGAGACAGGGTCTCACTAAGTTGCTAAGGCTGGCCTCAAACATGTGATCCTCCTATATCAGCCTCTGGAGTCAATGGGATTGCAGGTATGCACCAGCAGTGCCTGGCCCTAACCTCATGTCTTGATGAAGGCAATCAAGGGAATTTTTAGAGGGTGTTAATGCTCACGTTCTTCCCTGAGACTGATATACTATGTGCTAATGGTATAATACATTTGTATAAAATAGGCATATTTATGTTAAAAATATCTGAGACAAAAGTGGTAATAATGACGTAATGTAAAGTGTCATGTGTAATGTTGTGGGTGTTGGACAAGGAAAAGAGCACTACAGCATTTGAATAAAAACTGGGCTTTATTTAATAATAATGGATCAATGTTGGTTTATCAATTGTACAAAACATACCCCACTAATGTCAGATCCTCGTAGAAGAAACTGGGTAAAAGGTAGAAGGGAGCTTTCTATACTATCTTTGCAATTATTTTGTAAATGTAAAGATATTATGAGAATAAAGTATATATAGACCCTAGATTTCTTATGTAGAGAATATATATCATGTTAGTTGGCTTTGGGTCTCTGACCAAAATACTCGACAAGAACAATAGTAAAGGAAGAAAGGTTGATTTGAAGTTCACAGCTTTAGAGGTCTCTGTCCACAGGTGGTAGACTCCATTGCTCAGGGTGAACGGAAAACAGGGCAGCAAGTCATGGCCAAAGCACCTGGTGGAGGAAATCTCAGCTCATGGCATCCAGGAAGGACAGAGAGGTAACAGGGAAGGAGCACTGGGAAGACCTGCCCTTCCAGGGGACTCCCCAGTGACCCACCTCCTCCAGCCACACCCCACCTGCCTACAGTTACAGGGCAGTCCATTCACATGAGGGTGGACTACTAGGTAACAGCTCTCACAATCCAATCCTTTTGCCTCTGAATTATCCATAAAACAGGAACTTCAGGGGGATACCTTATATCCAAAACATAACATGTATCTACTCTGATACATATTATCTCTATACATATTTGATAAAGATAGATACAGATAGACATATATGTATATGTCTATTTATTATGTAGAGAAAGCATATCTGCGCAGTTTTTACATCCATATCTTATTTCTTCTCAATACTAAAAGAGTGAAAACCCTTTGCCAATGTGTTTAAGAAACTCAATTCTGGTTCCTTTTTTTCTTTTCTTTCTTTTTTTTTTTCTGTGCCCTTGGGATGCATTTCTGGCTTCATGACCTTAAACTTCCAGCAGCCCTGGAGTCTGATAAATGTGAGCTAAGCTATTCAATTTTCATTTTTGCCTTGGCTGCCTCCAGGAAGCATTGTCTTAAGCTGTAGGACTCCATAGGTGGTTTCTGCAGAAGATCATGGCTCTGTGTGTGTGTGTGTGTGCGCGCGCGCACACGCATGTCCTGCCCATTGGGCTACAGGTGGCTGCATGCTGCCCCCCCTCCCCAATTCTGGGGTGTCTATGGTGCCTGCTTTTCCCTCAAAATGCACATGTATGTGTGTGAACAGAAGAGAGATCTTCAAAATCTTTCAAGTAGGAAGTTTCCAATTATGCAGAAACAGGGATTCACCTCCCTGGACCCTGCTCCTTCGGTCCACCCCTGGATCTCATCACAGAGCCCCACACAAGCCCCTAATCTAGAAAAGTACCTGTGCTTGTAAGTCTCCTCGCCTGCTTTCTTTCCACCCCGGTGCCTTGCTGGATGTTTGTTTACTTGGGCATCCTCCGTCTCCCACCACTAAATGGAAACATCGTGAAAACAGGGATGTTTTCCTTTTGTTTTGCTGTCGTAACCACGGTGCTCAGAAAAGCAGTTCTTCAACTTTGCTGCACATTATAATCACTTGGGGGAGGTTTGAGAAGCTTCAATATCCAGGTCACACCCAAGACCTATTAAGTAGGGAGTGGGCCCCAGGTGTCAGGGCTTTTCATAGCTCTCCTGGTCTGATGGCTAATTTTATGTGTCATCTTGTCGAGGCTTTGGGAACCAGTTGTTGGGACCTAGATGTTGCTGTGAAGGTTTTTTATTTTTGTTTTATTTTTCTTTTTAAATGAGATTAACATTGAAATCAGCAGAGTGTGAATAAAGCAGTGACCCTTCATGGTGTGGAAGGGCCTCATCTAATCAGTCCAAGACCTTAACAGCAAAGACTGAGGTTCAAAGATGAAAAAATTCCACCTCTGTGTGGCCTTCAGATGCAAGACTGCCACATCAACTCTCCCCTGAGTCTCCAGACTGAAGCTCTTCCCTGCAAATTTCAGACTTGTCAACCCCCACAATGGTAAGAGTCAATTCCCTAAATCAATCTCTCAGCGCCCCCCCCCTCTCTCTGCATATATCCATCTTATTGGTTCTGTTTCTCTGGAGAACCCTGACTAATGCGCCCAGTGATTCCAAGTCTGAGAATTATTATGTGATTTATGACAGTGTTCAGGAGTGAAAGGTAATTGGTACATACTCCTGGGGCACCTGAGTATCTATTATTATTATTATTTTGCTGCTTCTTCAGGCTTTGGGTGTGGACTCATGCCAGCAACTCTCTGGGAGCTTTCAGGCCTTCACCTGGCACTGGGGCTATATCATTGGTCCTCCTTGATTTAAGGCTTCCAACTTCTTGGACTGGGGAAAGAAAAATATATATACATCTTTTTATTTAAAATATATATGTATGTATTCATTGTATTAGAATAGAACTAATTCTAGAGAAATCTAATATATCCAGCCCCTTAGGATTCAAAAGAAACTTAAGGTATGGGATGGAGGGTGTGATAAATGTTAAGCATTGAGCTCAGCTGCTGTCAATCAACACAGCTAAAAAATAAGGCAGGGGCTGGAGCATCTCTGATGAGAAGCTAACAGCAGGAGACATCCAAAAGGGAGCTTCGTCTTTGAAACACAATGTAAACCAAATCTGTTCCTTTCTGGTTTAAGAAGCACATGTGACATAGATGGGGTCCAAAAAGAGATGGAAACTATTGTTTTAAGATGCTAAAATCTGTAAAGATGAGTCTTGGGTTGGCAAAGAATAAATGATGAGAAACCCTCTCAGATCAGAGACTGCTCATTCAATAAAGCCATCCAGACCCATCAGTCACCACTACTTTCCCCCAAAGTCCCATGGACATGATCAAAAGGGAAAGCTGCATCAGCTCAAAACCAGAGACAGGAGTTCCCCGGGGCCCTGAGACCTTAAAGAAAAGCAGCAATGGAGCAAGACTGCAAGAAGGGCTCAGAAAGCCATGGTTGGTGATGACCAGAGTCACAGCCTCACCGAGGACTTCTGAGGTAGCAAGGAAGGAAGGCAGTGTTGACCTGTGAACATCTTCAAGGATATCTCCAGGGCCTGCATCTTCCCCAAGTGGGATGGTGGAGGGGACACTCCCAGCTCACACTGAGCACACAAGAAGAGTCAAACAAAGCAGGTACAGTAGGGCAGCTCCTTGTGGCACCAGGATAATCAACAAGAAGCTTAGATGACTGGCTGCAGCAGAAACCACTCCCCAAAGCCCTCCATTCTGGCAAAAGGCAGCCACAGCAAGCCTACCATATCTTCCTCTGTCCATTCACCTGAACCTAACAATTATGAACTGGGACCCTTTAGACACTCTCTGATAAAATCTCTCTCAACTGCCAGGGATAGAGAAACATGGATATCCGCTCCTACTCCAACCATCAAATCAATGGAAGAATAAAAAAAACAAAAAATCAGTATAGTAGTTCTCTTTGATCTGCAGGGCAGACCTTCCGAAACCTACTGGATACATGAAACTGTGGGTAGTACCAAACCCTACATATACTACATTTTCCACTATGCATACATGCCTGTGATAAAATTTAATTTATAAATTAGATACATTAAGAGATTAACAATGATAACCAAGAATAGAACAATTATAATAATCTACTATAATAAAATTTATTTATGATATATGAATCGTTTATTTCTGGATTTATGAATAGCTATTTGGAAATCACAGGTAACCATGAGTAATCAAACCTTCAGAAAACAAAACTGTGGATAAGGGAGAACGAGTGTACCTGGAAAGAAGTAGAAACCAACTGAAAAAAAATAAACATGTTAAGTCTCTCCTACAAAACGGATGGAATTCTAGAAACCAGAAGAAAAAAGTGCATTTCACTTCTGATTTTTTTTGGAATAGGGGAAGAAGGTTAGGATCACACAGAACACCCTGTCAGGTCAAAACACCAGAGCTGATAATTTGAGAAATATCAGGTATCCATTCCTAGACAGTCTCACATTTCAGTTTATCCAGGAAAGTTTAGAGAGGGTGAACCAATCCCCCTTGGGAAAACAGGACATGCTGTGCACACTGTCCAAGAGGACAGCCCCAGTGTCTGGAAGCAATCGAAAGAACGGGATGAACACTAACTTGTAATATGGGCTGAGTTTTATTTAAAGGATAATGTGGCACCTTCCAAGGGGGCATCTTAAAAGTTCATCTTCAAAAGTGGAACAAAAACATTTCCTTAGTTTTTCCCCATTGAATCAACCCAGGGCTTCTTTCAGATGTACAATACCATCTCTTAAGGTGTCAGATGAAGTTTGTTTTTAGAATAGGGTTTTTAAAATAACTGGTTTGCTTCTTATCTCATTTTTTATTCATTGATGGTTTTGTCTTATGAATGAAGAAAAGAGAAACTCATATGTCCCCCCAAAGTTCAGAAATGTGAGAGAGAAAGTGAGAAAAACCACTTTAAAAGCATGTATTACTTGAAGCAGATTATTGTGTAGAAACTTTTATATAGACACAGAAACCTATGGATAGACTACTGAAGACTATATTTCCACCCCAAAATTGAAACAGGAGGAGTTGGAAAAAGAAATTAATAGATCATTAATAGCAATATTTAGAAAATGGCAGAGAATCCACAAATGCCTTGGGGAATTCACTAGTGCCTAAAACCCTGCCTTCTATTTTATTTAAATAAGGACTTTTTTTTTAATGTGCACAATATTACCAGGAAGCAGAGACACCACCAGAACATAATGGTTTAATGCACTGTGTAAAGGGAAAAGGCCTAAAGAAAAAGCAGATGGCAGCCTCTTTTGCAGGAGCCATATAATTTCATGGTGTATTTTCTCTTCATGGCTTCACTGAAATTCAAGCCCAGGGGCCAATTCTTTCTGGCAGCCAGGATGGGCTTGGCAGTCAGGGAGGAATCAACAAGGATGGGTGCTGGGAGGGGGGGTCTTTACAAAAGGGTGGGATGCTACTGTCTTCCTTTCTGGGCAAATTTCCTCTGTTTCCTTGAGCAATGACTTCCATGGCTTTAGCCCACCCAAAGCCCACAATGGTCATCTCAGCGCCATCTCCGCCTGATTGACAATCCATTGTGACTTCACTCGAATTTCTGAGGGATCGTGCTAGATCACCTTTTTAAGCAAAGTCACACAAGTCAAAGGTCAGTGGCTAGCTTCCAGATGGACACCCTTTAGGGCAGCACCTGATCACTGCAGACAGCAGGGACCGACCGTGCATGATTTGATTCTCACAAGAGAATGGGTAGCAACTCTTCAATATGGTAGCACTTGGAAAATAGATTAATTGAGTCCCTAGAACTATACTTCTCAAAATGTGGTTCCTGGACCAGCAGCCTTATCTCACCTGTTAGACATGGAAATTCTCATACCCTCGCCCAGGGCTATTGAATCAGAAACTGGGGGGAGGAAGACTTGCATTTTGCATTTTAACAAACCCTGCAGAGAATTCTAAAGCATGCTAAAGTTCGAGAATCACTGACCTAGAAAAATCCCCAAAACATCTTCATTCTCAATGCAGTAGACACTAAAGGTGAAGACAAATTTCATCTTGTTAAAAAATACTGTGAGTC